AAAGAAATGTAGCCATGCCAGGATGATGCTAAGGAAGAAGAATGGGAGATAGATACTCCAGGCTATCTCTTGTCCAGTCTTCCAATCTCTTGCCTGGCCTCCTATTTGCTAAACTCAAGAGAAAGCCAGAGGGCAAAGGATCCTAGGGGACTAGACCATAAAGTACAGTCAACAGGACAGAGAAGGGAAAAAAATAAGATATAAGAGGGAAAGGAGCCAATGCAGTACAATCAGCACAGAGAAGAATCAAAAGAAGTTAGTGTGGTTGTAGCTCAATGAGCAAGGGAATCCTCTTGGGAAATAGAAATGTTTCTTTTTAAAAGATCACTTTGCCATTGTGTCAAGAAAAGGTGCAGAAAGACAAGAATCTGAAAGCAAATACACCAGTGATGAGTCTATGACAAACTCTATGGCAGGCTGGAAAAGCCGTGAGAAGTGCGTTGCATTTTTTAATTATTTTGATATCATCCAACCCTAAACAATATTAGACACAGAATGCTATCATGTAGAATACCTTTAAGTCAATTGTAAAACCTTTTAATGTGCATCCATTTTGTCCTACACACTGGGATAGAGTGATAACTTCAGAACAACATTTTCCCTTCTTAAAGGAGCTCAAAGCTGAGCAGAAGCAGAACAAGCATAACATTACAATAAGTGTACATGCTTCAATAATAAAAAAAGAGAGGAGTTGAGAGCACTCTGTCACTTCATTTGGAGGTGTGTTAGTGGAATGGACTTTTCAGCTGATTTGATTCCAGTTTAAGCATATTACTGAGGAAGAGGGACTAAAGGTGGGGAGGAAAACTGAGACAAAAGGGTGTGCTGGTCAAGAGTCACATGCGCAAAGGTATAGGGTCCTGAGCAAGTGGAGGAGGAGCATTCAGGCCCCTAAGGGGCGCAAATGGGAAAGGTAATAAGGACGGAATCAGAGATGTTCTGCTCTTTCTGTTTGGATTCCTTGGGTATTTTAGAAATACTTTTGCATGGATCATACCCCAGACACACTAAATCAATTTCAGGGAGAGTGGCTTGGGGGCAGAATGTCCTCAGTGTTTTGGATGAAAAGCCATGACTGATAGTTGCTATCTCTAAATCCTAAAGAGCCTGCATTTCAGGATAAGAACCTAGGTTTGATTCTGAAAATATGAAAGACCTAGCAGTGTAAATGAGATCGGCTGAGAGGAGCAAAATTGGAATTGGGAAGAAGTCTAGTATATAATTCAGTCCAGGTGAGAGGCAAGGAGGGAGGTACCAATAGCAAGAGAAATGAAGACGGATAGGTATGAAAGATTTCAGAGGTATGGTGGTGACTCACTAGATGTGATTGGGGCAGAAAGTAAGATGGATGGAGGGGACCATGAAGTTGGAGTGTCTGACACTGATGACCAGGTGTGTGACCTCCACAACCAGCATATGGAAAGCAGAAAGAGGTGCAGGTTGGCACAGAGAATGTGTGAATGGAACAAGAGGTGGAGGAGAAATGTTCAGTAATGGGCACTGAGAATATTAGAAGCGAGTCCCACATGGGTCTCTAGCTGAAAGGAATGCTGAAAATATGGGTACAGATCCAAGAGCCATAAAATTACAAGTATTTCTGATGTGACTATAAATAAAATCACTCAAAGGATATATATACATACATATATATGACTGTAAATATATAGGATATATATAAATATAAAGGACTGTATATAAAGGAGGTATATATATGACTGTAAATAAAATCACTCAAAGGATATGTATATATATATATATATATTCTCTGGCTAGGGAATGGAGGGCCAGCTCCTGGGAGGAGGCGAGGCGAAGAGAGGGCAATCAGAATTTAAGGGCAGTTGAGGTTATAAAAGACTAGAAAGAAAAATAATGTGTAACTTTAGAGGCATAAAAGTCAAGCAAAATGGCATCACATAAGCTTAAAAATAGGAGAATTTAAATGAGTGGCCAACATGGGGCACCTGGGTGGCTCAATCACTTAAGCGTCCTACTTTGGCTCAAGTCATGATCTCAGTCTGTGACTTCAAGCCTCATGTCGGTCTCTGTGCTGACAGCTTAGAGCCTGGAGCTTGCTTCGGTTTCTGTGTCTCCCTCTCTCTCTGCTCTTTCCTTGCTCTCTCGCTCTCTCGCTCTCTCTCTGTCTCAAAATAATAAACAATTTTTAAAAATTTTAATAAAAAAACAAATGAGTGGCCAACATTCATTTATTTACTTAATAAAAACAAAATAAGGACAGTAATTCCAGTTTCTAACTCAAGTTTCTAAATCAACGGAGCTAAGAATCAAGTTAGGTGAATATTCTGAGATGAGCACTAGGCATCTTGGCAGGGACCATTGGGACTGTCCCCCGTATTACCAACAATTTATATATAGTACGCATATGATCAGCTTCAAGCAAACTGAGGTCACTGACTGTGGATTACTTATATTTCTATCCCTACTCACTCAATATATACCACAATATCTGACTTACAGTGCGTGACTAATACAGCTCTATAACCTTTTATTGGAAAAATAAAATGGCCAAAAGAAGATATCCAAAGTACCAACACAATGAGCTATTAATATTACATTTATTATTTTGTCCTGAGAAGCTTCCTTAGGAATTTCAGCTAAGGAATAATGTAGTTCTGGTCTTAGATATTGAAGTGATAGTATATAACATTTGCTTGCCTGGATTGCAAAGTACCTGTGCATTTGTCATGTGGAAGAGGACGTAAAGAGAATTTTCAAATCAAAAATTTAAATAAGCAATAAGGCTCATACTTTTATATACACACCCTGTTCTAAAGCTTCTTGGTAAGGATTTAACTGATTTCTTAATTTGAGTCTGCTTATGAGTTAACAGGATAATTCTCTTTACCAGTCACAAGAATGGCATTTGTAGAAGGAACTCTTGAAATTCTATCATCAAGTACATTTTCAGAAAAATTTAGCATTTATTGAAATGCCAGGCTAGTCATATATTGGATAGCAATGAGGAATTTACTCTTCATATATTTCAGCTTTTTAGCCTTTTTTCCCTATGAATGTTTGTTTTCAATCCATTTTGCTTCTCAAGATAGTAAGAATTTTAAGGCATGTTTATAAGTTTCTTTTTTGGCCAATTAATTGTATTACATTTTTTTTTACCTGTTTCTGTATGTGTACTTACTATCTGCTTGCATTTTTTAACTGAAAAAAAAAGATATGAATTTTACTTGTAAATATTCTTCATTAATCCATATAATTTCACAAGTTTAGAATGTCAAAGTTAAAATTGTAGGAAATAAAGTTATCATTTATCTGCTGAATCTCCTTACAAATCTCTTACAAATAAGAGAACAATAAATCCTATACTCTTGTGGAATATAGGAACAAGAAAACATTTTGAATAAAATTGTGCTGTGAACTCAAGGTATAATCTAAAACAAAATACTTTTTCAAGATTCAGTTTTATGATGGCATGCATTCTCTCTCATTCTCTGCATTTTCTGATTCAAGATATTTCACAGTTCTAAAGGAGAACCAAAATAGAATAATAATTACAAAATAAAACAAAAAGAAATTGAGAAAGATAATTGAACAACTTACTCTCAGCAACTGGATTTTTAAGAAACAAAAGTGCTCTGAAAATACTCTCTGATTATTTAAACCAGCCTAAGATCTGAGTGTATATGCCCTATGTGTGTCATAGAGGAAAAAAATTACCTTTTGGGGAGCAGAGTGATTAAATTTCTAAGATTTATTGTTTAACCTCAGGAAGACTTTCCGTAACTTTGTTACAGTTAATGGAAGGCATGCTATGCTTCTTATAAGAATTTGTTCCAAGTCTTTGTGTATAATTAATGGCTTGTCTACATATTTTTTCAATAAAACTATTCATACAGAATGTTAAGTAGGCATTTTCAATACCAGAATGAATGTATCTTTGTGAAGATACCATTTATCTACCATAACATCCAAAGCATAATGAGGAGACTTTGATACACTGCAGATTTAGAATGGACTTGGAAAACAAAACCCCAAGATACTGTCTTGTCAGCACAAAGTAAATAAATTCATCACAGGAAGTTGAGGTTTAAATTCACAAACTTGTCAGCAATGAAATTAAAGTGATTTTTTTACAAGTTTCTTGACTTTGTATTATATGGGTTAGAGAATTTGCTTTCCAATCAGGCAATTGATGCATATAAAACTTGAAATTGAGAGTTCTGCCTTTTAATTAGATAAACTATAAAAAAAACCCAAGAATAATTGAAACAGCAACTGAAAATCAAAGAACAAGTTATTTTATTTTTTTAAAACACATCTAGATTTTTATAGCAATGGGGTAGAAATTCAGCTATTCACTAAATTTAACTTCTGATTTTATATTTTGACAAAATCATCAAAATATGAAAATAAAATTTACCATTCTGATATGCCAGCAAGTAAGAGTTGTTCTTTAATCACATTTTCTGATGGAAATATAGAAACAAAGAATCCTAAAGTAGATAACTAGTAATTGGAAATACAGAAATCATATATAATCCCTGAAACAAAATTAGCTTTTTACATGGTATGCTTCAGCAAGGAAAGCATGCTATCTGGAGACCAAGTCACCTTTTCCCAACAGTTCTTAAATTTCTCTGAGGAATTGCATTTTTTAATTCTGCAGTTATATACCTGCCTCCCAAATTATGAAAAACAAAGTGTTAAGGTTGAAAGATAAATTATCACCCAAAGGATACAAAAATACTAATTCAAAGGGACACATGCACCCCAATGTGTATAGCAGCATTATCAACAAGAGCCAAGTTATGGAAACAGCCCAAGTATGCATCAACTGGTGAATGGAAAAAGGAGAGGTGGTACACACACACACACACACACACACACACACACACACACACTGTAATATTACTCAACAATAAAAAAGGAGGGAATCTTGCCATTTGCAACAGCCTGCATGGGGATAGAGAGTGTTATGCTAAGGGAAATAAGTCAGTCAGAGAAAGACACATACATGTTATTTCACTCATATGTGGAGTTGAAGAAACAAAACAAATGAGTATGGGGAAAAAATAGAGAGGCACACCGAGAGAAAAAGACTCTTAACCATAGAGAACAACTGATCGTTACCAGAAGGGATATGGTTGGGGGGATGGGTTAAATGGGTGATGGGGATTAAGGAGGGGACTTGCTGTGATGAGCACTGGGTGTTGTATGGACGCGGTGAATCACTATGTTGTACACCTGAAACTAATATTACACTGTATGTTTACCAACTGGAATTTAAACAAAAACTTTTTTAAAAACTTTAAAAAACAAGCAAAAAAAATACCTAAACAATAAAAGCTAAATATTTACCTGTGAATCATAAATTCTGAACCTTTTAAATTACAAGTATATATAGAAAGGAGATTCTTCTACAGGGATCCAAGGTGAGAACTGCAAAGTTTTGTCAAAATCTGTATGTAAGCTTTTTGTTTGTTTAAGGGTTATTGAGATTAATATGTGTTCAGAGATATCTGTGACCTAGTGAAAATCAAAAAACGTTTTCAACTTTGTGCTGGAGCTGGCTTGCACTATACCAGCCTGTGGGAGCCGATTATTAAATTTTCAGCAATTTTGTGAGCTGATTGTGAAACTGCTGGTAGCTTGAAATTGGTCATGGTGATTGTATTCACACCATAGAAATGGAAAAATGCTACAAATCAGGCTTTTCTCCCTTCCTCGCTCTCCTCTCCTAGTCAGTATGCCAGGAAAATTACTCTTTGTTTTCACAAGACAAAAAAGGCCTATTATGAATAAGGGTAAATTATTTACTTTTTTGTTTTTACACTTTTCCGTGTCCACTGCTTAATAGTGTTTTAATAATATATAATTGAATTTAACATTAACATTTAAATGTCATTAATAGCAAATCTTTTTGGGTAGCAAATTCCTCGGTGGAGGAATACAAACATTGCACCAGATATAGAATGATAACACAGAATGATTTTATTAAATAATAAATCTTGAAAATTTAAGATTTTTTCCTAGGAATTTATACATAACTTATAAGCAAATATCTCAAATAAAGTAAAAATTTTTTGAATTATAAATTTTCCACTCACCAAGCTGCTGAGACATTTTACTTTCTGGTATTTTAAAATGAAAACAAAACATAAGACTGTGTCGATGAAGCAAGTGAAAATCAAAAGGGTACAGACTTTTGCAAGTAACATGTGCTAAAAATAAAATGAAAAAGTTTGAAGTCTTAAAAACAAATCTGTAAGAGAACTAAATGCCTAGGAAGATATAACCCCAGTAAATTATGAAAAGCTATGGAAAAAAGGAAGTAACAAACAAAGTAAAAATCCCTGATAAAGCCAAAAAAAATTGGATGGCAGTCAAAAAAAAACTGGAAGGAAAAAAATAAACCTTATAACAAGGCAGAACTTTGGAAATGCATCCCCTGGAGACATATAATAGAGCTGTGAATTTAGTGGAGGTGGTGGATAGGCAATGCTGGGTGACTAAGGACTGTTAACATAATTAAAAAGATGGGGAATTTCTGTAGCTGAAGATAAAAACCCTGAAATATATTATGATGTAGTCAAATGAATGTCTTTTCTTTATGCACCTATTTCTCAAGAGCTGATAATACAAAGGAAAAATTTAGTGCATAAAATTCAAAGTTTCCATTTGTATACTAATCTATCAAATATTTTACAGCAATTAGACTAGAGAGCCACCAAAACAGAATAGATCTGCAGAGCTCCCACTTTGCAATAGCTGTGCGGAAATCTTGATACTTTCCCAGGGTGTAACCAAAGTCAGAGTCTATGTGATACCGTATGAAACAACCAGGGAAGATTTTCTTTTTTAAAATTTGAACTATAGATAGATAGATAGATCGATAGATAGATAGATAGATAGATAGATACATAGATAGATCTTTTTGAGTTTTTTTTTCTAAAATTCCATGCAGAATATGAGTTTTAACTAGATTTGTCGTTATAAAATGAAATGAAACCGAAATCACCAGCCAACATCAATAGTAGCATTGTTTTCACAGAGCATGTACATTTGTATAAAGTTACTTTATGTGGAGTCATTTTGATATTTAAATTGAAACTTTTAGTATTTTCAGAATTTTTTAGAGATTTTGATGAATAAATTCCTCAAAGGTTTTTATTAACAAATTACTGTTAAAGAATTTACACATTATAAAATATTGCTGAACATACTGACAGATTTGAGTTTTTCTTTAACAGAATTGACATTTTATCAAAATAATAAAATTTTTGAAGTTTATTTTCTATGCCCTCAACCTTCTCTTTCTGAACTCTTTTCTCCTCTGGGATATAAAAATTTTCCTAATTTCAGACATCTGGGAAAGCTATCAGTTCTCTTGTCCCTTCCCGCTCATATAGATTTATAATTGCTATATGATTATTTCCAAAGTTGCATTTGACCAATGACATATGTTATAAATTAAATGCTCTTAAGATAATGTGCCAGTTAAACTTTTCATATATAATTACTGAGTGAGGATATTTGTTCATTGACCCTTAAAGTCTCAAACACTAGTAAGCTCTCTGGATTGACTGATTTGGGTCCAGATGAAAATGCTGAAGTTCTATATTTCAAGGGGCTCATAGTACTAAAAGTGTCTGTTTCCTCAGTCAGCAGTTTCATCCAGGATCTGGTTCTCTACTGGGCCCCCCCATTCCAAATGCACAGATTTTGAGCCCCAGCGCTGGAAACTGACTCCATGGGTTTGGACCTAAGCTATATTATAGTAAGAAATTAGCTTTACGTCCATTCTCTTTTTCTTCATTTGTGAAGTATCACCAGAGATGTATATAGATAGGGGCCAGGTAGTTAATGTGTAATAATAGAGAAAAGGCAGACTAGGTGAGTGCAGACATAGTAAAGTGGATATAAATAGTTTTAGGAGTTATGAAAGTTCTCTTGTGGTTGATTCCATTGTTCTCAGAGAAGTAGCAACCAAAAAGAGACTGATTTCTGGGGAAGTGTTGGAGGTCTATAAAATGGGAGAAGATGCAAAACTGCTATCTAGACAAATTAGCTGGTGAATGGACTGGGACATATGCAGTACTGATTGATTAATAGGCAGTGTTAAGATTTGCAGTACAAATTTGCAGTGGGAGAAGACTGTATGTTTTGTGATTTGTTTCATATATCCAGTTGCTCAGGAATAAATGATGATTAAATGGAAATTTGGACCTAGCCAGGATTATTTTCTAAGCTGATTCAACAAAGTGAAAAGGAAATGAGGACATTGAAGCTACATGCAAGGGAATGATTGACCATGGAATTTAGGCAGGAAACAGGCTAAGAGAGGACCTCGAAAGAATATGGTTCAATGTTAACATGATAAGAAAATAATAGAGGCCCCAGATTGACAAAAGGTTTTAAAGTCAGAGTATGGGAGGAAATGATGAAAGGAGATCAGAGAATGGGGTACATGAGATTATGGGCCCAGAGGAGTTGCTGTTCTAAATAATGACAAGATCTTGGCCATTCAGGAAGTGTGGTCTGTAGACCAGCAGCATCAGCACCACCTAGAAAATCGCTAGAATTGCATAGTCTCAGGCTCTACCCCAGATTTACTGATTCAGAAACTCCAAGGACACATCCCAGTAATCTTTATTTTTACACAACTTGAGACAATTATGATGTACACAGTAATTAGGTCTAGGATGTATCCCGTAGAGAAGAGTGAACAGGTAGGGTAGTGTGATAATGTGATAGAAGAAATATATATCTGGTCTTTGCCCCAGACCTTGGCACAGAGCTCCTAAAACCACTTAATTGCAAGCGCGATAAGCATCTTTTGTTATTCATAATAGCTCCCTTTTAACTGAATCTGAGTTTATGCTCATGAGATGACTAGGGTGGCTGGGGGCCCCTAGATAGTCTCAGGGTGGTTGCCGTTCACCAGAAAGACCTAGACAGGATTAAAGGTTGGAATTTTCATTCCCGCTTTCTGGGGATGGCAGAAGGGCTGCAGATGAAATCATTAGCCATTGGCAATTAACCCAATCAATTACACCTACGTAGTAAAAATGATAAAACCTCTGGGAAAAAGAAAAATGAGAATTTGGGGAGCTTCTGGGTTGGTGAACACAACCAGGCACTGGTAGGGTGACACAACCAGCCTGGGTGCTGGGTATTATCAAACCTACACCAGAAGCTGTAGGAACTCTGATTTATAATTGGTGGGTGGTGGGTCACAAGTACTGGAGGCCCAAACTTGTGACTGGTATCTGGTGAGATTGTCCTTAACTTGTGGAATAGGACACTGATGGAAACAGTTTCAAAACTGAATTGAATTGTAAGACACCCAGTTGATATATAAAGAGTGGAGATCTGGTTAGTGTTGTAGGGGCCCAGGGCAGACTGCCCCCAAATGTACCACAATGGCATATAGATTATTTTGAATTGAAGCTACTTGGGAAGGAACCCAGACAAGGACACTCAGACCCTCACCGTCTGCTAGAATGTGGGAAACAAATCTCCCATATGAAAATACCACCTTACTTGTACTAAGTGAAAAGACACCTTTAGCACCAAAGTGACATTAAAGTTAATTAGGCTATAGAAATGAACCTTGTGACTTTTTTACTAATCTACTACCTCAGCCCAAATTCCACTTAGAACTCCTTACTAATTGAAGTTCCCAAACACCTGTTTTCCTTATCGTGTAAATTCCTCACAAACTTATTATTCCTGTCTAAAATGTATAAAAACTGATTCTTTTGACAGTTTTTGCTGCATCCCAAAGGTTTTGGACCATTGTGCTTTGATTTTCATTTGTTTCCATGTATTGTTTTATTTCTTCTTTGATTTCCTGATAAACCCATTCATTGTATAGTAGCATGTTGCTTAACCTCCATATATTTGTGGTCTTTCCAGGTTTTTTCTTGTGGTTGATTTCTAGTTTCATAGCATTGTGGTCAGAAAAGATTCATGATATGACTTTAATTTTTTTGTATTTGTTGGGGCCAGTTGTGTGACCTAATATGTGATCTATTCTGGAGAATATTCTATGTGCACTTGGAAAAAAATGTGTATTCTACTGTTTTAGGATGGAATGTTCTGAATATAAATGTCCATCTGGTCCAATGTGTCATTCAAAGCCATTGTTTCTTTGTTTATCTTCTGTTTAGATGATCTGTCCATTGATGTCAATTAATCTTCAACA